AAGTGTGATTTAGGTGAAAGTTTACACAGTAAATTCATTTTCCATACAGCAGGGTCACACACATTGTTTCAAGACATTGATTGCAATCCCCATAATTTAATAGTTGTCTCCCTACTACCTCCTTGCGGTTACATTTTCCCTGTGTTCTTTCTTATTCATTCCTGCCCTCTGAGCTATCTCCCTGTGCAAATATTGCCCTTCTGATCTTCCGTGATTGATTGTTCTAAGGCGTGTACTTACCTGGTATAAATCTCCACCTTATATTCTTGTCTATTGTTTGACTGGGAGCCAGGGGAGTAAGTTCAATTCCAGGCCTGAAGGGTGACTAGGGGCCATAGTTTTGGGGGTTTTATCAGTTTCTATCAGACCAGTAAGTCTGACCTTTTTTTTTTTTATGATTTTGGGGTTTGTTCCACATTTTTCTCCCACTCTGTCAGGGATCTCCTGCACTGGTTCCTTTCCAAGTGGTTGACAGTGGTAACCTGGCACCATTTAGTTCTTCTGGCCTCAGTGTCATGTAGGCTGAAGTCCCTTGGAATAATTGTTTCCATGTGTTTTTGGTTTTCTTCATTCTTTGCTGTGGACAAGGAAAGACTAATTGTTGCATCTAGATGTCTGCTTGCAAGCTTTTAAGATCCCAGTTGCTACTCACCAATGTAGGATGCAGCACAATGTTTTTGTGCAGTATGTTATGCCAATTCAGTTTGATGTCCTTTGTGACCATGATCCCAAACCAATAGGCCCAACAACTTGCTTCCTCAGACACATTTTTTTTTTCTTTATTTCAATATATCTGGATGGGTGGGGCAAGCATGCCTCTTTGGTTGTTAGATTGGCAGCACTGGGTTGTTGTTCCCTACCTGCCTCCAGGTGGGTGAAATAACTGATGGGAATGTGGGCATGGGCTCTGTTTGTGGTGAAGAGATGCTACAGATGGGATAAGTAGGACTGTCCACCATCTTTCATTGATCCAGTGGTGCAGGAGTGTGTGGTGGTGCTTACTCATTAGGTGAGGTGGTAGATGCAGTAGACATCACTGACTAGTGGGGAGTTAATGTTGTCCCTCTGTTGTATAGGATAGACAAACAAGGGAAAAAAGGAAGGAGGAAAAGAAATAATAAAGAAAAAGCTGGATGGATAAGAAGAAAGAATTGTAAAAGTAAAAGTAGAAGAAGAGGAAGAGGAAGAAATGAACCAATATAAAGGAAGAAAAAGTGGAAAAAAGAAGGAAGAAAAAAAGAAAAGGAGGAGTTGTTTTTGTAGTTATGGTCAGTTGGCATCCTTGGCACCAGGTGCCTGAGGCACAATCTACTGGAGTGTGTGCCCATGGAGGTGGAAGAAGGTTGGTGTGAGTAAGCACCTCTCAGAGGAGGCAAGGGTGCATCTCTTGCATTCAGAGAGGAACCTGTCAGTGACACAAGCACAGGCAGGTTGAGTCACAGACTCTGGCTCTCTCTGCTTGGGGTGCATTGCAGCAAGTGGCTAGCTAAGGAACTGGGTAGGTGTGTAGCAGCCATGAGGATGTCCCTAGCCACTGGTTGGTGGGGGCAGGAAGAGGGTTCACTTCTAGTCACTGGAAAGGTGTGTTTGTTAGAGCAGAGAAAACATCTCTCCAGTAGCAACTCACTGGTGTGGGTTTGGTGCTGCTGAGACTCATTCAAGTTGGAGGCCACCCAGAGTCTAGTGTCTCCAACTGCACCTCAACTCAAATGACTAGCGTTCACTAGTGGTGAGTTGTTTCATTCCCCTTTTCTGGCTCCCTCCTTGCTCCATGGTTACCTTTGCCACTGGAAATCTGGTCTGTTTTCCTGCACTTTCCTCTCTGAGATTCAGCATATATTCTGTTCACCTTGATTCTCTCCAGATCTGTCCACACTGTGTCTCTATTAAAGTGTGTACTTCATGAAGCTGATTTCTCCTCACCTGTGTATGATGCCTTCCATGCCTCAAAATGGCTATGCTTCATTGGGTCCTGGACTTTTCTCTCCCCTAGTCACTTACTCTACCTCCCTTTCCAATCAGTGCTCTATCTAATTCTTTATCCTCTCATTTGACACTCAGAGTTCCAGGATCATTATTTGTATCTGTTTCACTTGGTTTTTCTGGGTCTCTATTGTAGAGGGATTGGGCGGAATGTTTTAGCAGAATGTGTTCTTGTCTCCACTCTTAACTAGAAATTTTAATTCTTTATTTTAGAAACATAAGCGTTTTTTAAACAAAACTCTAACATATCTTTAGTTAATATCACACACTTAAAATGAACAAAATGTGAATAGGTTTTTTAAAAAGTGTGATGAGACCGCCAATACTATGGCCCTGGAATACATTCTGTGCCTGGGGTAGAACTCACCCCCAGCGGCTGGCTCTCAGCCCAATAGTTAACAAGATGTACATGCACACTACTCAACCCAGGAGGGCACACCCACATACTCTATGGTAATACATCCCTTAGAGCCATAGACCACGGGGCACCAGAGGACCAACATTCAAGTTGAGGAAATGCAGGACAAACAGGATTGCATTAATGTGAGGGGTAGAGGGGGAGGGTTACAGGGTAGGGAGGGGAAGAGACTGGGTTGGGGTTGGACATGGTTAATGGGGAGTGAAACTAAATGTACACATAACGTTAAATGTAAAATAAGCTCTTAAAAAATTAGACACAAAAAAAGTTGCCTTAAAGATTAAACATCACTGAATGGAAATCATAGTAATAGTCAATTCATTAAACCCAGAATTGCAGCCATCAATTCAGGGAAATTAGTATGGGAGGGAATTGTGGTTTTTATCTGTGGTATTCCAGATGTGGGAGCTCTGGTGGCATAGTGCCTAAGGCATTTGATTGCTAACCAGAAGGCTGGAGGTTCAAACCCACCAGCCACTCCTCAGAAGGAAGACTCGACAATCTAATTCTGTAGAGATACCACCTCAGAAACTCAAGAAGGGGTCACTATGAGTCGAATTGACTCGATGGCAGTGAATTTTTTTTTGTTGTTGTTGTTATTCCAGATATATGCCCTATGATTGGGATACACTTGCAGCCAGTGAAAAGACAGTATCAGAGAGGTGGTAAATTTTCTTTAAAAGTGACTGGAAAACTATATTATTGAAAGCTACTTACTGTATGTTTTCATTTTCTCTCAGAGAAATATTAAAAAGGTAGGTCATCCTCTCTGTCTCCACCATCTGTGTTCTATCACTCTGCTATGTCCATGTCCATGTTCTGTCCATTCATGAGCTTGTCATTGGTTTTGTACAAACCTCTTAGAGAGTACCCTATCCTCACCTTCCCCACTCTCACTCCTGGAAAGAAACCAGCAAAATATGAGAGGAAGGAGGGGAGTGAAGTAAGAAGTTGTCTGAGTACAACAGGGAAATTATCAAAGTCTTTGCCTTCAAATCAGGAGAAGAAAAATTAGGAGAAACATTCTCCAAGCAAGAACCTATACATGGGTATATATTGTTACATTACCCTTTCTGTGTCAGCCTGAAGGCCACAGACACACCTCTTCACATTTACATACTTACTCATTCAGTCAAATGTATACACATACATCAAAACTACTTACATTCAGAAAAATT